AGGAGCTCCAGAAGGGAATATGATTAAGGCCAGGCAGGGGTGCCACGCTGACCAAAATCTTTGGAGCAGGGAGCTTAGTAGCACAGGCAGACTCCTCAGGGGCTAGAAGTGCAGTTGAAAATGAGTGCTAGATTACCCATGTCAGCAGGCTTTCTAAAGGGGGCCAACAAGTGCCAGGCTCCAAAACAAGGTCCTAAACCAGCAGGGTACAGCAGTTGTCTACATTAACTATTTGGGATAGGAGGAAGGGTGTCTTCCAGTTCTTAGATACTTTGTGCAAAATAACACATTTTGAATCCACAACAATACATGCAGTTTTCTAGAGTCTAGCAAGAGGAATTAACACTTGAAGTGTCTCATTCCAGATGAAGCAATCTGGGGTCTCATTATACCCAGACAGCATGCCCCTTTCTCTCTCTTCTGCTAGCCATGCATCCTCAAGCAATATGCAGAATGAGAAAGGTTCTTGCACTCCTCCCTCCTCAGAACATCTGAGAAGTGACTTTTCCTGTTTGCAAGCTTCTTCATAGCAGGAGCCCATGAATTTCAATTTGTTTTATATGGATCAGAAGAGAGAAATGAAATCAATTCAAAAGAAATAGCGTTACATTTGCTTTACTGTATTTTCTGTTTGCGAAAAGAATCTCTTCCTTCACTCACCCTTGCTGTTCCTTGTTCCTGCTGTTTCTGGTCTTTTCTTACCCCAGTAGGAAGGGAAGGAAAGAGACTATCACCAGGAAAACTGAAAGGAAAACGCCTCTGTAGAATGTACATGCCACCAGGAAGCATGAGGTTTAGCCCAGAGGGCTCACAACATAAAAGAAACTTCCAGACCACGTGTTGGCATCAAGATGGGTGGCGTGCCCACTGCAGGTGGGTGAATGACTGGCACTGAGTACAACTCCCTACATTTCTGACCTCTCCACTTCTTTGTCTAGAACGTATGAATCTAACCACGCAGTTTCCAGTGACTGCTATTCCCCAAAATCTAGAAGAAAAATATTGGGCTTTTTAATGCACCAAGGGTCAAAGAAAGAGAACTGAAGTTGTAAAGCCCTGACACACAACTACTTTTTAAAAAAGTCAATTTCCTTAGCAAAACAAGCTCCTAGGGGGAAAAAAAAAAAAAAAAAAAAAAATCTACAACAGGTATTTAAAATAACCTACTGGGAAATCCAGTAACATATTGTCTCATTGCATATTTATCAGATCTTCCCATTGACTTAAATGGGAACACCCTGCTTTTACACATGAAAGATTATGCAGGCATAGAATATTGGTTCAAAATAAAGGGAGACAATCTCAAAACACAGAAGAAATACGTGGACAAGGGCAAACTGGATACTGAGAAAAACTTTACATATATCGAGGCAAAGAGGTGTCTTTTTTCAAAAACAAAAAGCACTGAACTGAAATTAATAGAACAAAGAATGTAGTTACAAAGTAGTATTTAAAACTGAGATTAGAAGCAGAAGGACTGAACCAAAGAATCAAAGACATAAGGACAATTTATTGACATATGTTAGATGCAAGAAAACTGCAGAACAGTTGTCTGGTAGGTTTGAAATAATACTGGGGAAAAAAGGGAATGAATGAAGAGGAGGAAAAACTGCAAAAAAGATAATGGCTGATTACGACCTTGAGATCTTTAGTCACACAGAAGAGTGAACTCAACTTTTCATATATGTGGCCATATGGCCATATTAACATTTCTTGACAGCTGAGTTCCTGATGAGAGCTATATTAAGAAACAAACAAACATCTCTACAACTACTAACCCTCCTGAAGAAATGCAAGACTGTACACCTCCTTCTCACCCTGCAAGTCCTTCATTCTCCAGGTTTTTTCTTTCTTTCACAGCAGCCATCAGCAATATCTAAATCCAAAATGGGAAGTAAAACCACACTACAAGAAGTTATGGAATAAAACATTCCTTCTCTGGAACAGGAAAACAGTTGGAGGAAATGTGACTCTGTGACACAAAGTTCTTGCACGTATCAATTTTTCTGGGTGCAACAATACTGTCCATTCTTCTCCCAATGGCTAGAAATCCAGACAGACCCACAGGCAGCCTTCAGCCTAGAAAGAACAGCTTCTTTTTAGGCCTAGAGCAGGCAGAAACCATTGAAGAAGGTTTGTCCTAACAAAGTGATTAAATTGCATTTTTGGAACCCTTCAGATCACATCTTGTTAATCTCTTCTTCTGCAAGTAAAGGATGAAAGAGCAGCAGATAACAAAATAGAAAGTGCAGAAATAACTGGATAAACCACAAGACAAGACAGGCTGCTCAAGGTTGAAATCAGCATTTCCAACCAAAAAAATAAAAAAAAAGCATTCTTCTATCTGGAGTGAAAGAGTAGTACTCCTTAAATAGCCACAGGAATAGTTCACATTACTTGCCAATGAATTCTAGTATTTAATAAAATGGTTGGAAGGCTACTTGAAAAGATGTTAACCTGAACGTCTAAGAAGAGATTACAGAATGGAGAGAAAAACTACACAGCTAACGTAATGAAAAATATGTCTTTTTTTTTTTTTAATGTTGGAGTGGCTCTGCAGATGCAATTATTATTTACGTGGCCATTCAAAAAGGCTTTGATAATGACTCAAAGATCATAAAGAAAGCAGAGCAATCGTGACTGAAATTTAAACCAATGATTAAAAATGAGCTAAGTAGCCCAAAGCAAAATGCAGGAATAAAAAGGACACTTAAGAAGAAAAAGGTTAACAGTAATTGCATGCAGAAGTTACACTTGCATCAGATTTCAACATTATTTAGTAGCATCAGAAAATCAACTGTAAAACAAAGTGGCAAAATTGACACTTGGAGTGTATTTGGGTTACTGAAGAAATTTAACAAAGTAAAACAACTATGAAAGAACATGATAAATACTTTTTGGTAATTATTAAGTAAGTTTTATTGCAACATTCTCAGCAAAGGAAAAAAGATCTGGGTGCCCTCACAACAATTCAAAAGCACTGCCAAGAAAAAAGAAAACAATTTTAACAGTGCATGCAAAAAAGCATGGAAACTCTGCTGCCAGTGTGTACCTGACAGAGAAACACCTTCAAGAAGAATGCTGTCTACAGTTCTTTTTACCTTATTTCATTAAAACTACAGAACATGAGGGTAATGGCAGGTGACTAAAATGATCTGGCTCTCGAGACGACTGCCACGTAACATGACAAAGCGATGATGTTATCAAGCACATGAGCAACAGGGAACATGACAGAGATGCACACTTTGAAAGTCAGAGTTGAACATTTTTACTTACAGTGTTGAACAGGAGACCATGCAGTAAAATTAAATGAGCAGCATTAGAACTATGGGAATATATTATCTCACTAACTGCAGGCTAAGCATGTGAAAATCGGTGCCGCAGTTCTTCATTAAGGGACATCCGTGAGACCATGAGAGAATACTGTTCTATGCACAGCCTCTAAAAACATAGCGTTAAACAGGATTGTTTGCTGGAAATACCCTTGCACAAATCGGTAATAAAGCCACTGGCCAAGGTATCTGGCTGGCCCATTTTCTGAAAAGGACAGGATATTCTGGAAGGATCAAATGCTGGAATTTTTTGCCCTGCCTTTTCTTACCAACCAACCCTTCATAAGAATGGTCTGAGTAGACTTAGCATTAATTAGACTGCAGATCTAATCCAGTGCGGTGATTTCTACACTTAAATGTTTGCAATGGTTAAAAACAGTGATCCCCGAAGCCTCTTCCCACCTCCACCTCCCCCCAACAAAATAAAAAGGTACAGTGTAGTAAAATTGAAACAATTTATCCTCTAAGTTAGCCGCTATGCCTGATGCAATGCTACCAATGCATTTCTCAAACTTCACAAAAGTACTTGGAAGCACATTTTTTTTCTTACCTACTTTTCCTCTCGCTCTAAATAATTAGGAAGACCGTATAAGATTATAAGATTCTGCTTCACAATACAAGCGTGTTTCCTTATTTTATTATCTTTTTTCCCCATCCACACATCATTATTTGTAAAGCCCATTTAATAATTCTAAGAGATTCCAAGATGTGTGTGAGATGCTGGGATACTGCCACTTGTGTGGTGGTTCGCTACACTTAGCCTTCAGTCTTGTGGCTAACAATTCACCCAAAATGTGATAATACCTCACCACAACCCACACCCTGCTGCTCTTCAAAGGAGAACAAGGATGCATAATTGCGAGATGATGAGCTCAAATATAAGACAGGAGATGAGGGAACAGATTCTGTAACCACACCTGTGAGTGGTTAAACTACTGAAGAAGTTTCTGCAGCTCCACTTTCACTCACAGCATCAACACAAGCCATACATTTTCAAAATACTAGAATAGCATTTACTACAGTGGAGGAATAAATACAGTGATAATACCTTGCCCCTGCAGAAGAAAAGAGGTTTAACGTATATTAAGAATGTAAATAAGCATTATTAGCAAATAGACCTTGTAGTCAATGTGAGCAAGATATACACACTTTTACTAGAAATACTGTCAAGATCTCATTCCTCAAGAATTTTTACTTTAAAATAGTCTAAGTTTCATTCCAACCTTTTGTGATCACGTAGTTTCACTCATAACATAAGGAACTACAGAAGAAAAGATCTGTGCATCCATGCCAGTTCTGTGACTGACACTGAAACATTTTGCACAGAAATTAAGAACTGGTTACAGATGCACTTTAGAGTCCACAAGATGTGTCCCGTGGTGGCTATTCTCAATGAAGAAAACATCAAAGCCCTTTCCTTACTAGACTAAAAATGTTGCAACTAGTTTTTGTGGGTTCTGCCATGATTAGTGAGTTAAGAAATCTGGGGCAAAAGAAGAAGCAATTAAAGACGCCGTCAAACTCAACGACTGTGAGAACTGACCATCCTTTCAAAATATGCATTAATATGAGATTAATGAGTAAGCATTTAAAAATAACAGGATTACATGCCTACGTGATTTCTCATTATTAAAAAAATACATGAAGAAATAAAGAAATCTCTTTTACCTAAGAGAAGTCTTCCTTCTGCGAGGTTGAAGGATCACAACCCCAAAGCCAGTCCCTGCCTGCACAGCCAAATTCTCTGCAGCCACACCCTCCTCTTCCTCATTTTTTTCCACTGACCATGAAATGCATTCTAAGCCAGGCACTGAAAAAAAATTTTAAAAAAAGATCATAAGTACATTTTTAATGGACACCAGATACCACATGGCTGATTTAATTAAGCAGATTAGAAACAAATAAGTATATTTATACAAATATATTTTTATTTTCTGTTTCATTTCAAACAAATTTGGCAGGCCTGATTTGGCTCTATTCAAATCACAAGAAACGTCATTAAGAATGTTCTGTACTGACAGTAGAATCAAGCCCTCTTGTTCTTTTTAGAATGTAGTATTTTACCTATTCCATTGCTACTGTAAAAACAACATACGAGAGGCTTTTCAGAATATCTTGGAATAAACCTATGGACTTTGTAATAGAAACCAAAACAAGACAACCTTTGACAGATGTTCCAGAGGTACTCTCTTCAATGAATTGGATCAGTGTATCTTCAGCAGAATGGTACTGCAATATCACTCAACACGTACTCACTGTTGTTACACTTTACACAATTTATATCATGAATAATTTCACATTGCATAGAACATTATAGAAATTGATTGTTGTTATAAACAGTTTTGCACACTGTATCATCTGCTGGCTTTAATTCATTATTTAAAAGACACTAATTACACTACATTTCATATTCTATTCAACCACAGAATATTGAATAGAAATACAGAGTGATAAAAATACTTTTTTCCAGTATGTCAAAAAACAAAACACCCAAAACAAGCCATCATTGCCCCCCCCCCCCCACAAGAAAGGAGAGAAAAAAAAGAGAGAAAAAAAAGAGAGAAAAAAAAAGAGAGAAAAAAAAAGAGAGAAAAAAAAAGAGAGGAAAAAAAAGAGAGGAAAAAAAAAGAGAGAAAAAAAAAGAGAGAAAAAAAAAGAGAGAAAACTCAGCAACACACTTTTTTTCAAATAACTAGCTACAGGATTAAACAAGAAAGCAAAAATACGTATGTAGGGGTAAGCAACTTAATCTCAGTTTTTGCAACAACTGCACAAAGGTAGTATTGTTCAGCTTTCATAAGGACAGGGAAATTAACATTAAAATTACTTTTTTTTTTTTTTTTTGCCTTTGTTTTTTGTTTGTTTGTTTTCTTAATTTAGAACTAAATAACGTGACCAAAATCTGCAGCTCAATGCTATTATATTTCTTGAAAGAGCAAGTTGATATAAAAATAAGAATGTTAAGATTATATTAAGATGAGTGCCCGAGGATGGTGACATTTTAGGTATTATAGTTATTATATAATGCCAAGTCCAAAATATAATCCCACCACTTCTTATTTATTCATACGACTCCATCATCACAGAAAAATGCTCTTATGAACGTGTTGTGCACTTTCAGTATTAGAAGGGCTGTTCACAAGGGCATTGTGCATGCTCCCACATCCTAGCAGGTTGCCTATAAACAGCTTTATAAATCTCAAAGCCTGCACAATCCAGGTTAGATACAGTACACTCGCTATATATACATCTGCACATAGAGTAAAATAGAACTACCTTGCAGAATCATATCAACACCGCTGTATTCATAGACATGTTTATTCATGCAGAAATCTTTTTGCTCTAAACTGCAGAATATGAGGCATTCCTCACTATAATGGAACACTCTGGTACACAACACTGACTTTTAAACACAAATATGATGATGACAGCACTACCATGCCATTATTTTACCTTCCTGTAACAGTCACCACCTGCTAGGCCCTCCCACTCATACAATCTGTGTCAGAAAAGCACACTCACTCTAGACTTCCTGCAATCGCATCTACAAAGGTGCTCTATAAGAAAGGGAGCAAGCAGAAATCCAAGAGTTAACAGGAAAAAAAAAAAAAAAAAACAACCAGCAAAAAAATCAGAAAACACAACATAACCAAAATCCCCAGTCATAATGAAGGCCTTGCAGGAAAAATAAAACCTCCAGCAGATAAGAGCCTAACAGAAAACAAACAGATAATTGAGAGACCCAGCAGTGCCTGGATGCAATCTTGAGATTTAGGCAACCCTCGATTACAAGGACTATTCAATTGAAAACCCAGCCGACGATTCCTATACTGTTTTCTACCAATAACACATCTGAACTGTGACTAAACACCTCGTTATGCTTCTCTGGCACTGTCTGAAGCAAATGTATTGTACAATTTTATGCAGCACCTAAAAGCAGAGATAAAAAGAAGCTGTTTTCCTTACAGACAGCACAGGCTTGCAGGATGACTGAATACCTTCCTTCCCCTGAATGCTTTTCTGCACTAGGCAACAGGTGGTAAAATGTAGCTCTCAATCTCCCATTTTAAAGTAAGAAAATTTACCTTATCTATAAGACATTGACAGTATATATATTTTTGTTTGTTTTTTAATAATTAAAATTGAGAGAAGAGGTTTAACTGGGCCCTTATGTTGGTTTCACAACTTAACTGCCTTTCTCAAACGTCCATTTGTAGATAATAGACATTTCATTTAAAGAAAATCCAGCCCTCCCAGTTACAAATAATAACCAGTGACTTTAGGTAACAAGAAAGTACAGACAGAACTTATAAGAGAAAAAGCAAACTCTTAAAGCATTTTCAAAGGAACTGTATGTCTAAAATACTTCACTACAACCTCTTTCTCTGTTTACTTGCTAATTGATCTTAAATACACAGATGAATTATGAGGCAATAACCTCCAATTTTCTTAGTCTTACTCCAAACAAACATTACATTCTGATTTATTAATATTTGAAATATTTAATTTGCTGCTTATGGCACTTAAATAGTTAATCTAATTTACGAAAGGAATACCACATTAAAGATTCCTGCTATTTTCTTCTTTAAGCCTCACCACTTCAAAAACATTCTTTCCATCCATTATTATTTCGAAGCGGTCTTCCCCTGTGAGCTGGACATACTAACATAGTTCACGAGGCCATGTTGGCAGCCCGGTTTCTTCTCCAGTCTCCATGTTATTCATTAGGTAATTTTGCTCCGATACGTACACAAGCAGCCGGTCAAGTGCAAGAGATGACTCTCCACACGCAGTTATGTCTCGCACACTTCAGTCAAAAGCCCTTAGGAGGCTACAAAATACTCAGTTTCTATCTCTGGCTGTTTCTGGAGCCTTCATAGTGCTTGCAGGGACAGCATTTCGGCAGCGCCGGCACCCTGTCCTCAGCAGTACACCTGTGCCCCTTTTAGAACCACCCCCCCCCGGCAGCACGTTAAGGATGGAAAATGCTTCGATTTTGGTAAAACCTATTTCTCAATTCGCAATTAAAAGGAATCTGGCTTTAAGGGTGCTGTTTCATAAAATATTTAAACGCTTAAATGCAGTTTTGCAATTTGAAAGCTCTGCAGGTCTTCCCTCTGCGAAAACACAGATCTGTAGAACCACTGTGGAGTACCTGGTGCAGCAGATGGTTAAAATTCTGCATCATTTTTAATAGCCCTAAGAGCTAGCGCTGCCTTTTTTCCGCCCGGGGGGGGGCGGGGCAGGGGGGGGGCTGGGGGTGGAGGAGAGAAAAAAAGCTGAGGACAGCAATTTGCAGACTTTTTTTTATCCTTGACAGCAGCTAGCCACGCCTCGGTCTGGCCCTTCCTCCAACCTCTGCTAACCTAAAAACCAGCGCCAGGCTGGCAGCGGGCCACATATTCAAAAGTAAACATTGTTCTCCTGCCATTTTTCAGCGTTGTTTATCGCAGCCTCGATCTTCCCGCCTTCCTTCCTCGCTGAAGCTCAGATCCCCGTCCTCGCCCCGGTTTGTTTCGCTCTACAGCCGCACCGAGCTCTCAAAGCCACACAGTTACCCGGCACGGCGACTCCCAGCTCGCACGGCGCCGGCAGCCGCGGAGCAGCAGCCCGTTCAATTGGGAAAACGGAATCGGGCACATCTCTCAGTGCCGCAGTCCCACAGAACGAGGCGGCACGTTCTCGCTCTGGCACAACGCGTGCCCCCTGCTAAAGCTGTAGCTGCCATTACAGTACGGCTTTTGCTTTCAAAGCGTCTTTATGTCCTTATTTGACGGCACCGGGGCTGCAGGAAGAACAGAGCGGCGCGCACACGGCTGGCGAGCTGCACCTGACCGCCAGCCCGCGCCCCGGCTGCTCTAACAACTCCGCACCGACACGACGAGCTGCCGAGCGCTGGGATTTTATTTCGTTTTCGTAACCATTCGCTCCATCAAATGGACAGCCAGGAGACCGGGAGGAAAAGTGCCAGAAAAAAGGGCTCAACATACAAATAAACACAGAGAGAGGGCGGGCGGCAGGCCCCGGCGCGGCCCCTGCGTCACCTGGTGCCGGCAGCGCGCCCCGCGGCGGCCATGTTGCGCGCTCACGGGCAGCCCGCCGCGGAGCCGTGCCAGCCCAAGGCGAAGCGTACTGCCAGGCCTCTCATTTGTGCTCCCCAGCTCCGCGAAGGGGCGGTCTGCTCGCCACAGGTGGGCGGCAGGTAACGGTGGGGCCGGGAGGGGCGCGGAGCCGCCGGCGGGCTCGTGAATAATTGCGAGCAGCTCGCTCGCCATTTCCATATTTAAATCGCGGAGCGGCGGGTGATTAATTAAGAAGACCCAAAAAAAAAAAAAAAAAAAAAAAAAAAAAAAAAACCAAAAAAAAAGCCGGCTGCCCGCGTTAACTCCTTCCTCCCCCCCACCGGCGGCCCCCCGCACCCCGCCAGCACTCGGCGTGAATGCTAATTGCCGACGACCGGTCACGTGGGGCTGTGCGCGGATCCGCGCAGCCACCCAGTACGGCAGCGGCTTTGCGTGGGGGGGGGGGAACCGCCATCGTCGGCCTTAGCGTGGCTGTAGGCTAATGTATTTTCACGTAGTGAGGTTAAAGGAAGGCTTAAGGGTTTACGAAGTTATCTGCATAAAGAAATATTGTAATTGAGATCCAGTACGATGTGTAATTGGAGTTCTTCCGAGCGCTGCAAAGAAGGGAATTACTTCGGATTCGAACGCTGCGATTGACGTTGCGGCTGCTGGGAAGCTCGGGCAGGAAGGAAGACGCGGGATAACTGCGCAGTGCGCAGCAGTCAGAACGCTTGACGGCTTAACAGCTCGACTCCTCACGGCTCTCGCGCTCCCGGCACGCAGCGCGCAGCCCAGCGGTACCGCACGCCGCCCGGCCCTGGCCGGTGGGCACGCTGTGCTTTTGGCGGCCGCGCTCCGCGCTCGAAGAACCCATGTCAGCCTGCTGCTGCTACCGGGGTGCTGGCGCCCTCCCTGTAGTCCTGCCTCTCCGAGGTGTGCTGTGCTTCCTTTGCCAAGCAGATACGTGTGCACTAAGCTAAAGCTGTCGTGCTTTGATCAAACCAAGCGTGTTATATTGCAACTTATTAAAAAAACTCCCCCCTCCCTTCCATCCTCTCTGCCCCAAATAATGAGTTCTGGATGTTCATAGAATCATAGAATGGCTTGGATTGGAAAGGGCCTTAAAGATCTTGTTCCAACCTCCTGCTGTGGGCAGGGCTGCCAGCCATTAGATCACGCTGCCCAGGGCCCCACACAACCTGGCCTTGAATGCTTCCAGCAATGGGGCATCCACAGTTTCTCTGGACAGCCTGTGCCAGTGCCTCACTGCCCTCTGAATAAAAAACTTCCTCGTAATTTCTAACTTAAATTTCCTCTCTTAAACTATTCCCCCTTGTCATATTCCTACCGGGCCATGTAAAAAGATGCTCTCACTCCTGTTTCTAAGCTCCCCTCAAGTACTGGAAGGCCTCAATGAAGTCTTCTCAGATCCTTGTCCAGACTGAACAAGCCCAGCTCCCTCAACTTCTCTTCATAGGAGAGGTGCTCCAGCCCTCTGATCATCTTTGTGGCCCTCATCTGGACCTGCTGCAACAGCTCCACATCTTTGTTGTGCTGGGGAGGCTCCAGCTAGCTGCATCCATCCATATGTGTGCTAGGCCAGTTATGCTGATCTCCTTGGGGTGGTCAGCACGTTTGCACCCACAATCTGTGATCCCCTTGGGATTGCTCAGTGTGTTAATAAATGTCCTAAGCAGGGATGGAAAGAAGAGGTGAGATGAAACACTGTCAGGCACCGTTTTTTGGACCCTGATATCATCCACCGGCACATCTTCCAATCCCTCAGTCCACTGGGCAGCATTTGGTAATGACTGCAATGGCAGAAACTGGGGAGCTGAAGCACTGTTGCTCTGATCAGTGAGGACCAAGTTCAGTCTCTCCTTCCCATAACTAGCTTTCTGAGGCAGTGTTTACTGTGTGTCATCTTTTCTTCTGCCTTGGCTATACAAAGGCCCTTTGGGCAACTCACCAAAATTTCTGTAACTATCACCACCCAGAAAATTTTCCTTGCCTTAACATGTCAGAAAAAAGGACATTCTCATACGCAATGTGGAAAGTAACTTGCTGTATATATAAAATAAAAAACAAATGTTTTGCTTTTGTATTCAGTATTTAAAATTAAACAACAAAAGGCATACTGAAAAATCATAGCCCAAAAAGGCAGGCCCAACCTACTTAAATATCTATTTGTTTTTAGAGGCTACATAATATTTTGGAGGATTTCATAGCTAAAAAAAAATGTTAATAAACAGTTAAAAATGAGTAAGAAGCTTGCTGTTCTCTCCTATGAAGGTTGTGAAGTGCAGTCACAGTAGCAAATACCAGACATTTTATTAAAAAGAGGTTAAAGCTGCATGCATATGAATGTTGCTCATTATCAGCATTACTGTGTATTCCTTGCCTTTTTTCTCATGTAAAGTAGCATGACGCTGTCAGAGCTAGTGCTGCCCAAACAGCCAAACAAACCTGGATAAAAATATCACTACGTCTTTACTCTCTGGTTTCTAATGTAAATCTTAGAACCTGTAAAAATACTTTAAAAAATAATTTAAGGTATGTTGCTGGTATTAAATCTGAAAAAATCAGTGATAGATCAGATAGTTTTAGTATATTTTCTTGCATTTCTTACGAAAGTTCAGTTAATTACAGACGTCCCGATATTCTGAAGATTATGTTAACTGGCTAGTGATTGCAAACATACCATGCTCACTTAAAATGATCTTTCTATGCTTTGTAGCTCAAAGTACTATGAAGAAGCTGCATTTCTGTATTTAGCTGAATTTTAATGGAAAAAAGACTCCATTAAAAACCTTAACTGCATTATTAAATGATCCAAAAATATAGGTGGGGCTGGCACAACTGCCAACTGTTAGGATTGCCAGATACCTCCTGTTATAAGACTGTGTTTTCAATTGCTTGTAAACTTTGCCAAACATAAACTGTTTGGCTGAAAATTTCTATCACCAGGTGTGTGCCTCAGGGGTAACTTGTCTGCAAATATCTAAGCCCAGTGGCTTAGACCTTTCCAAGCACAAGCCATGGAAGCGCCAGTCTCTCGGTCCACATTGCGAATCACAGAAACCTTTTCTCTGCTTCCTTGTGCTTGGCACAGAGATGAGGAAGGGAGGGAGCCTGGTAGGAAGTGCCTTTTGCCACTTCATTTCAGTCAGGTTATAAACGTTTGGAAATGCCAGTTCACATACACTGGCTAGAGACTTGCTGAAATTAAAGAGGAAAAATTCCCAAAGATTCCACCTGCACTGAACACATTGCTTCCTCTTGCAATGAAACTGAGCTTCTTGGCCAGCGGAGCAGATGGGAGAAGGCAGAAAGGTGCCAACAGACACGAGTGCTGAGAAGCCAGGACATGGAATCGCCAGCATCTGCATTGCTCCTCTATAGGGGTGCTTTAAATAGAGAATTATCTCCTTATTGTCACCAGCTTGAGGAGCAGGGCGCAGTGGGATGGCTCAGGATATTCCACTCCTTCTGGTGACTCATTTGGATGTTAGCAGACTGCTACAAGATATAATCTCTGTTTATGCAATTTGCTCTTCATCCCCCCCCTAACTTGCAAAAAATTACCTGTGCTAACATGTGCGTTCACAAAAACGTGTGTATGCATACATGTGTTAAAATTGATTAAAACAAGGGTTAATCTTGTTCAAACAGGATTAAAGGGTGCAGAACCTAACTGAAAAAGTAGGAATAAAATCAACTGTCTGGAGACACTTCTTGCACACTGTCTTTGTGCGACACAATCCTCAGTCTCAAACCTGTAATATACCTTTTCTGTTGAGTCCTTGCTTTTGTGAAACAAGACAATATCAGCATTAGCAGCTCCTCAGTATTTTGCATTCACATCACTAAACAACCTGAAGCTGCAGACCTTGCTTACTGGATTCTCCCCTGGAATTACATCCCGAATTACAAGGTTTTCTTGTGGCAGTTCAGTCCCTGAATGCTTCTCAAAGATCTATTGCTTTATCTTCACAAAAATATCTTGGGCTGGATGAAGAAGAGATACTACCTCCATTTCAGAGACTAAGGATTTGGCACAAGCATCCATCCATTCCAGGCACCCAATCTGAGAGCTGAAGAACTTTGCTTTTCATGTTAATCGGCTGTCTGCAGTGCTGTATATATTGGCACTGTG